GAATGTTGGAGGGAAGATGGAAAGTTGGAGGGGGGCGAAAGAAAAGATGTATGGAGGGTTGAAGAGGTACATTGGGTTTCTATTTTTGGGGGTATTGTCGACAAGAGGAATGGCTGTGTTTAATGTTATATGGCCCTGGTTATGCACAGTATATATGTGACTGTATGAAAATGAAATGGAAAATAAAAACACATTTACAACAACAACAAAACAAAAAAAAGATGATTACAATGATACATAATATCATCCTAAACTTCTCTCCCAGGTAACATTTTCTCTTCTTGTGTCTCTTCCTCCCTAACTTCTGTTTCTATTCTTTAGCCATTGATTAAATACATCCCTCGTCAAAAAAATATTCCATTTTCTTCTCTATCCTTGATAATAAGCGTTAGTCTGTGTTTTTGTGCTCATTCCATTATTTTCTGAGTCACACTCTTGTCTGACGGGATCGCCTCACTCTTCCACAGTTGCGCAAATACAATCCTAACTGCGGTCAGTACGTGTAGAATCAAAGATATAGTCTTTTTTGTTGTATTTTTCTGGTTGGATGCCCAACAGAAATGACTATGGCCTCAGTTCAATATGCTTCTTAGACAATAGAAGTTTATATTGGGAATAGTTAAAAACAAACAAAAGTTTTGCCTTTTCAGCTCAACTCCAACACAAGTTTGTTCCAGCGGAAATATGTGGGTGAAGTGAAGAAGTGTGAAGAAATGGAGAGAATATTGGGTAAGTTTGGAGAATGCGGAACGACGGGCAACCCTCTGAGCTAAATTTTTACCCGTCCTGAAATATATCACAGATTGGTTATTTCAAACAGAAAAGGGAATGAAGTCCTTCTCAATTTAAAACTGAGCTTGAAAGAATATTGCATTCCCCTTGATATATTGGCTGGGTTTCCGCATTGGATGTCCTCACACATTTCAGAGGATTAAAACTGTGATGGTCAGGAGGTTTGGTGATCTTTTGGGTACCACATATTGGCTGTTTCTTCCTTTTGGGGTTTGATTTTAAAATCCAGAGAATTAGTATGTAAATTCTGGGCTTCTTCAATTCTCATGATATAATAGGGAAAACTGATGAGGATTGATTTTTAAGAGTGCCTTCACTTATGCGTATTATCTTTTGTGATGCAGAAGGAATGTGCCAGAGCCCAGTCTTTTAAAGCCAGTTGCTTTACCTTGATGAAATAATTTTTCATTTTTTCCAGGATACCTAGTACAGGAAATAAAGAAAGCAGACATCCCTCTTCCGGAAGGAAATATCACCCCTTCTGCCCCTCCACTCAAACAGATGTTGGAAATCCAGGTAAACTTGCAGAAATGGATGACAGAAAATCTGTTTCTTGAATTCTTTAGGCCAGTCTTTCTCAACCTTGGCAGGTGTTCGGGAATTCTGGGAATTAAACTCCAGGCCTCTTAAAGGTGTCAAAGTTGAGAAACGCTGCTTTAGGCCAAGTCTTTTTTTTTTTAAAAAATAATTTTTTATTTTTTATTTTCAAAACAAATATAACACATAAAATCTTCTTTCTTTACATCCTGTAGAAAGTGTTTCAGTTGGTTACAAAAAGCTTTCGTGCACCTCTTCCACCGTCGTCAAGTATAGTTCATATTAACTCAAGTATTTTGACTCCAATGTTTATA